TCACATAGTCACATGATAATGATAACTTGTGATTCAAGCTAATCAATTAAAACACTCATGTGACGTCATAGTCGTACGAAAAAAGCTATCTTGTGTTTCCAGCTAATCAGTTCACGCGCTTCGGTGTTGCCAACTTTTGCTCTTTGCAAAAACTTTCTCTTAAAAAGTACATTTGAATACAATTTTTTTTATTATTAAAGTATGCTTATAAAATACAATTTTTTTTTAATTCTAAAAAAACCTTTTGAAGAAATTTTTGGTATAACTTTTAAACATCGTTTCAGAACTATTAAATTTAAAATTTTATCAAAGTCTTACAAATAGAACAACAAGTACAATTAGTTTAATGTCTGCTTTGAATTCAATGAAGAACTCGTGTTTATCTTTATACGTCAGGAATGGAGCCCATTAACCTCTGGGAATAAATCTTCGCCATGTAAGTGTTGACATATTCCTTATGGAAACAAGAGTATACAATTATTTTTGTACAAAAGAAGTCCCTGTTGAAGTACAAATTAAAGATTTTAGGCACTCTATGCACAATGAGTCGTTTTCCACGAGGTTTATGATATTGAACCCGAAACAGATGACTATTACTCCGAACTCGAAATACTTCTCCAAAGTTGAGAAAAATAATATTGTCTTTGCAGATTCAATTTTTATTGTGTTTAATTCCAGCTTCAACTTAATGTACTGCTGGAGTAAGGTATTCTTAACGCTGATAGTAAGTTAAAAAAAAAAAAAACGTGTAATGTAAATCAATGTACCACATATTTTACTAAATACAGCAGAAAGACTGAAATTCCAGTATAATGCAAACTTGTTTTTTTTTTTTTTAAGAAGTTAAGGCACTTGCGTATTATTAAAATAATCGCCAAGTCTGTTGATAATTCGCAAAGTTGGCAACCTGGATTTCCTACTTGTCGTACGCGTTGAATTGAGAATCATGTGTTTCGTTTCCTATAATGTCGCTAACAGGCTGCGATAATACGTGAGTACCGAAGTTAATTTTAATAGTCGACGACTTATCAAGGTATACATGAGAGAAACGGCAATTTTTTTCTATGTTTGAAAAAGATAAATATCTGTTTATATAATCTAATCAATAAAACAAGCTATATATATATATAAATAAAATAAAAAAAAACATTTTAAAGTCAATACCTACTTAGGTCAACAAAGAAAAATTTTATTTTAGTTAATTAAAGTTAACTAATGAATTAATATTTGAAAAAAAACTGCTTTTGCATCAAGTGTCGTCCACTACAAGTTTTAAAAAAATGTATTTGATCTTGAGCGAATGAATAAAAAAATAAGTATTTAAAGACTAGAAGAAAATTGTTAAAAAAACTTGTTGTGTAGCCAGTTCTAACTTCGTCAGAAATAACGAAGATAAATTTAAAATTGAAAACTAAAATTTAATTAATGAATTAATATTTGAAATAACTGCATTAACATCAAACATCCTCCGCTACAAATTTTAAAAATGTATTTGAACTTGAATTGGTGAGTAAAATTATTTTATTAATGAACGAAAATTTGAACAAGATATATAAATATATAAATAAATGTGCATATATAGGAAAGAGTGTGAATTGAAAAAGAGTAGTAATTGAAAAAGAGGTACTTGCGTATTGTTCCGCCGACCGATTTTGTCAAATCGAAAAACGTCGCCAGTTGAAAATATTCTAAGAACATCGCCATTATTATAGTTTCATGAATATTCCCAGTGTGGTTCTCCACCTTTGTCCTCATATCACGTCATTTGGCGACGTCCTTTTGACTTGACGAAGTTATTCGATGGTATATTACTTGAGTACCAAAAAAATGGTTGGTGAGAGTATAACTGCTTGAAAGTAATCAATAGCAACACTCCCAGTCAATTGACATTATTAGAGAAACATTTTCATTCAAACAAAGATCATAATAAGATGTTTCGGTAATGATAGCGATTATGATTAATGATTATCGTTTGACTTTTAGAATCTTTCAAGATATTAATGATAATCATTAAGCTCTTTAACAGATGCTCACTTTTAAACCTTTACTCCAAATGAACATCGCAATTATGCTAATCATCCTCCCTTAATCTTGGTGGAGGAAAAATGTTTCTGCCATATCGATTCCCACGAATATAATCAATTCCTTGATTCATATTCTATAAATTATCAATATTTACTCAATCAGAACCTTTCACCTGGAATTCTTAAGGGCTCTTCACATAAAGCACATAATTAGTTTCGAAATCCTGCCTTGGCGCATTATTATAATTAAAAGTTTCTTTACTCAGGTGGCATCACTTGCAATTATGACTCGTAATTACAAATTCCTTCGCCAATATCGTATAGCGGATGTTTTCAACCTAGGTTCCCTTGAACTTTGCCAGGTAATTTGTAAGTGATCCTTATTTGTTCAACCGAAACACCAAAAATGTAGTAAGATTCCAATTTTTATAAAATATTGAATTCTTGAAGGCAGTTAACTTGTAAAAATAAATATAAATAATTATTTTATGAATAAAAAAAAATCTTAAATTTCGTAAAAGTCACGTGCTTTAAGCATGAATGGATAAATTAGAAGGCTTGCCAATGAAGGAAAAGGAACAACTTATCGACCTTTCAGCATTCCTTTTTGGCATCCGACTACGTTCGGAACCATGATTTTAAAAAGGCGCATAAATGGATAATTTTCATGATATTTAGTATCACTTAGATTAGACTACATGTATAAAATAGTTTTAAGGACATTTTGACAAAAAAAAATTTATTTAAATACAATATTTCGGCAAAAAATTAACAGAATAACTTTTATCCAAAAAGTTCTCCTTTTGTGAAAACTGCTTCTATAATAATAAAATTTTGCTTGTATATAGCTCAGACCTCGGTGAAGAGGAACAACTATGCTGTTTGAAAAATTCACATTATTTTCAGAGTTACAACCCATTGTAATAATTATTGGGGTTTTTCTCTAAAAATTTCTCACCCTCTGTTGTCGTAAAACATGGATAAACCCACTTCTAAGTTATAGATTTCAAAAATTCTAGTTGAGCCTCTGTACAGAGGTCTGAGCCATAGACAGACAAAATATTATTATAATAGAAGCATTTTTCGCAAAAGGAGAATATTTTGAAAGTGGGTTATTCTAAGTTCATTTTTTGTCAAAATATTGCACTTAAATAATTTTTTATTGTAATATTATTCTTAAAACAATTTTATATACATTTTCTAATCTAAGTGACACCAAATATCATAAATATTATCTATTTAAACGCTTTTCCAAAATCATGGTTCTGAACGTAGTCGGATACCTTAAGAAGGAACAGCTCCTAAATTTTAGGTTGGAATTTTGCATAATGTGTAGAAATTTTTCACGCAGTTATAAGCAATTTAATACCTTTCTGCACAATGTATTTAAATTAAATATATTTCTCAACGTAGGTGGCAACAAAGACAAAATATAAAATCAAATTAACGCAAAATACGAAATGAGATTGAAATAATAATGGACATATTTTCAAAACAGTCTTCTTTCAGAAAAATGCTACAGTAAAAATAATTTTTTGCCTATATATAGCTAAGACCTCTATACAAATCCTGAACTAGTTTTTTTTAAAATTTAGATGTGGATTTATTAATTTTTAAAATAAAATAGTGGAGAAATTTTTACAAAAAAAAACCAGTTATTACTCCATTTGTGAGAGTAACTCGGAAAATAATGTGTGAATTTTTCAAAAACCGAAGTTTGAACTCTGCAGGAAAGCTGTATATAAGCAAAATATTAAACGCTATTAAATCAATTTCGACAAAAAAAAAAAAAAATTTTTTGAAAATATATAATTTTTTTTTTGTTCATTTTTTTCAAAAGCTTTACATTTAAATCGTTTTTTATTTTAATAATATTCTTAAAATAATTTTATATATATATTCTAATTCAAAGGATATTCAATATCAAAAATGTATCTATTTATACTCTTTTGTTAAATTATCTTTCTGAACGCAATCAATCCCCTTATATCCAGATAAGACTTTTCCTGCTTATTTTGTGTTAAACCGGGAAAAAACGGATATAAAGAAACAACCTAAAAACGCAAAAAAACAAGTAATATAAAAAAAAAATTAAGCCAGTTCCTACTTAGGTCAACAAAGAAAAATTTTATTTTACTTACTTTTTATTAAATAGTTACAGTTAATATAAATATGTATATACATAGGACAGAATCACAATATTAACCCGCGGTCACTCGCGCCTGTTTTTGCTACCGTCGTTACTCGCGGGGTGTAGAGAACACCTCAAACTTTTAACACGTCTATTTAATTATGAAAATAAAATTAAGTCATTATTATACATATTTATTAAGTACAAGATGATTTTTGTATTATACAAATAAAATTATTAAATTTATTGCATACAAATGACACTAACACATTAATTTAAACTAAACGTACAAAATGTTCATTTTAAAACACATAATTTTATATTTTTTCATAAACCAGTATAAAATGTATATACCAGTAATAAATATACTTTATAATTAATGAGATAATAATAGTAGAAAGTAGAAAAATAATATTTTAATCATTTTCCAAACATTCAGAGCAGACTGTATACACATGCTCAACTTCTCATGGGAGTTCTCAGCCCCCAGATAAACTTTTGAAGGTCATTGCATTCCAATCGTTAGAAAAAGAGGGATTGCATCAGGCGTGAAGGTTCAATGACCTAAAATGTGCAGCTACAGAAAAAATCATGGTTCTGCGCATTCTTTTTAGAATCCTGGGGGGATTTTCTTGTTGCTGGGGTGTACAGAACACCCCGCGCGAGTGATCGGGGGTTAAGTGATGAAATAGAAAGCGATTTTCCTTGTAATTTTCCATTTTCTTTTCTATATAGAGTGTGGGACTATTTTTTTGTATGTTTGTCACTATTTATTCATTAATTAAATTTATTTATTCTAACCCAATAGTATAGTAAAAAAGAAATAGTAATCTCAGAAATTAGGTTATCCCAGGTGGGATTCGAGCACACGACCTTTGAATTAGAAGTCCAAGGCGCTATCCATCGCGCTGCAAGGACACAACGAACAATTTTCCTTTCTATATAGGTTGTTGGACTGTTATTTTTTTTTTGTTACTATTCATTCATTTTTTAAATTAATTAAAGAATTAAAATATTTGAAATTACTGTATTAACATCAAGTGTCATCCACTACAAGTTTTAAAAAAATGTATTTGAACTTAACTTGAATGGATGAATAAAGGTATTTTGTTAACGATTGAAAATTTTATGAAGAAATTTTTTAAATAAATATATGTAGGGAGAATGGGAACTAATTGTAGAAATTGAAAAATCAATAAAGGTTTTTCCAAAAATGTAATTTTCAGGATGCAGAAAAACCGACAGTTCAATATCATATAATTATTTGGCACGTTAAAAATCCTTTAAATGCCGACTAGGCTTGAGTGCTCTCGACAAAATTAAATTCCTAGTCCTACCTCGCATCGTCAGAACTCAGGTGTCTCCCTCTGGGGAGGAAACTGAGCATCAGAATTATATTAAGACGATTGGTGTTCCATCTGTATGGTGCCGCATTAAAAAAAAGAGATACCAGCTCCCGGGAAATGTACTAGGTCTGGAATGGTAATATACAAATCCTCAGCCCCACTGGAAATTTTTTAAAAAATATGTAAATTTTACAAATGGAAAAGCAAACACAAGCCTAATGTCAGTTTTGTATTCAGTGAAGAACACGTGGTTGCATTAATCATGTTACAGACATGAATGTAGCCCATTGATGCTTTAGTCTAAATTTGAAGAGGGAAATAAAATCCATACAATTAACATTAAGTCCACGAATTCAAAGCAGTTGTAGACGGAAGCCTTAACAAGCATTTTGAATAAAAATAATTTTGTCTTAAGTTTAAACCAAAGTTTTATAGGTGAACCACTGTAGTAATTCATTAGTTGACACCTTCCAAATAAAACGAAAGATTCATCCCACTTTATGTGTAAATTCCCTATTTGCGGAAGAAAAGGGAGAAAATCCAATGTTCTTTTTCCCTCACTTTCACGAAAGATCGAATCGCGAAGACAAATATAGAAAAGGCAGAGAAAGAGAAGTTAAATTAGGGTATCTTTTCCATCTTTGTTCGAATGGTGTTCGCAGACATTCCACTCCTCCAAGGAACAATGGAATGTTCTCGGAAGAATCCTCTTGGTCACGATTTGTCCCTAGGGCACTCCAGGAAAGAAAGAATAGTTACGGTTACTATTCCTCGCACGAGTGTTCCTTTTGGACAGTGAGGTTTGATTGGTGTGTTCGCGAAAGTTAAAAGCTAATCGAGATCAAGCACTTTCTATTTGATTATTTGCGCTTGTAGATTCTTCGAGGGAAGTTTGGTTTTGGCCGAGAGGAAGGTCAAAAGGTTCATTGAAGACGTGGAAGACAAACATAAATGTGTGGGTTAAATTTTGATTAATTCATTGTTACTGCAGATTCAACTTTGTTGTGAAACAGAAAAGAAGTTTCATAATGAATATGATATGATTTGAAGTAATATTTTGAGGTGTATATGAAATAAACCCCAGTTCGGAGAAATGTCATGCTGAAAGTAATCAATCATGTAGGATGATAAAACAAATGGTAACAATAAAGATATCGCCCACCCGATATAGTTGTTAGCAGCGCTGACTGCTGTGCCATAAGGGCCTGGGTTCAAATCCCGGAGGTCATGAATGTTTGTAAATGTATAGAGCCTTTACGGCAGGGGGTTACATTAAATAGCCGTCGAGCCGTAAGTCTCGTGAGATTCAGGGAAGAGGAAGAGAGGCTCTAGGTTTTCTTCCTCTAAATTGGGGTGAAACTGAGCTAAAACGTACTGTCACCTGGTTACGGTTGACGACAGGCGTACATCTAGAAATCCAACCTGTCTCTTGCTCTAACAACTTTTCTTCCTTCCCTTCTGGAAGGACAAGACAGCAACAATAAAAATAATTGTTCAAATCACATCGCGTCACTGAAGACTCGCCGCATAGAAGGGGTTAATATGAATTAAATTTGTCAAGACAAAGTCCTCACGTTAGATTGGTGGGAAAATGTGGCGTGTAGGGATCAATTCATGTATCGTCCTCATTACTACCGCAAATTCTCATCGACAGTGATGGGGTTGATGTAATTTACTCTCTAATTAGTGTTCCAAGTGCCATCTATCATTTCATTATATTTAATAACTGGGATATGCGTAAAACTGTGGAAATCTAAGTCTATTAAGCAATCTGCAGTCGCATTTCATATTCTGCTCGAATTTGCTTCTGTATTTTGTTTATGTTGAGAAATATTCTTAACTTAAATACACTGTCCAAACTGGCTTTAAAATGTTTATAACTGTGTTAGAAAAATTTCGCCACATACTGCAAATTTGCTATCTAAAATTTAGGAGTTGTTCCTGCTTAAATTTAAACTTCAACTTCGAATCTGTTGATATGTGCATAAGTTGTTCCTTCTCCTACATTGGCAACCCTTCTGATTTATCCATCATGCTTGAAGCACGTGACTTATACGAAATTTAAGATTTTATTTTATCCGTAAAATATTTATTTTTGCAAGAAAATTGCCTTTTTTTAAAAGGATTAAAATTTTGGCGCATTGATTAATCAAATAGAGGTGTTGGAAAGCTAAAATCTTACTTTTTATTTTATTTTTATTTATTTATTTATTTATTTTGTTTGACAATTTGAGATTTTTATATTTTTAAATTGTATAGATTTTACCCTTTCTAAAATCACCTTACTTTAACCTCTAGGGTAATTAGAAGCCATTAAAACCTATTTTTAAATAATCGTTGAAATAGGGACACGCCCATTTGAATGGCGCGAAAAATGTAAACAAAGTACTTCGTTTTCGCTTAAAAGTTGTGAATGTCTGATATAAATCAAAACATGTATCTTTTATTGTAAATTGAGCCTTTTATTTTTTATTTCCGATTATAAGTCTCACTGTATACATTAAAATTAATTTATTCCAAAATATAATTTTTGTTGTTCGATGTACCTTTTGTGAGAAACTACTGCTCACAGATATGTAAATTTTTTATGATATATTTATAATGATAACTAATATATACTAAAATGAACATTTTGTAAAAAACTCAAACATTTATTTTTTACAAATTTTTTTTATATGAAAAATGGGTCAAATTTCACTATATTCGATAAAATATTTTTTAAATTATGAAAAAAATTCAAAACTAGCTAAAAGTTCATTTTAGTATAATGAGAAAGGTGTACTTTAATTGTATGAAAAATTTCAAACATGTACATATAAAAGATTTTGAGAAAAGGTACATCGAAAACAGCCAATTTAACATTGTCGGTATAGAGGTTTCCTGCTCCCCTTAACCTGTGGAACTCTTGTCAAAGTTCCAGTGAACCCACGAAGACTTCGGCTTTGTGTACATGACCTTTGGAAAGAATACACTTAGAGCTTTTTAATGTGGCATGCACTTATTTGATAAATATTTATTATTGTCAATATTTCTCTTCTTACTTAGTCCAAAAATTTTCAAATTGTTTATGGATACCATTGTGAAGTGTGTACCTAGCTATATATCTCGGGACGATTCCCTCTTAAGCTAACCAGGGCTTTTTTTTCCTTAGAGTTCCATTTGGGGTTTATCTACCACCTCCTCACAGAGGAAGCTTAAAATGCAGCTTAGATTCTAACAGTGAAAGAGAGATAGGTGGAAAAGTAGAGAGTTGTTATAGTTAATTGAAAGGTTAACGATTATCTATTACTTTGGACTCCGGGACACTCTAATATACTAGGGAATGAGCAAGCGGATTATCTCGCAAGATCTGTCACGGAGTCTGACGTTTATATAGACTGGATTGCTTCAGAAGATATATAAATAAAAAAATATATCAAGAAAGATTTAAAAAAGCAAACAATATTTTTTATTCAAGCAAATATTTTGAAAATTTGGGCAATATTATAAACACTAGCATCATCTCTAAATGGACAAATAATAGAAGAAAAGAAATTCTATGCACTCGAATCTTCAGCAAAATAATCATTACCCCAGGACTTCTTCAAAAATTTAATTTAATGGATAATGCAATGTGCAGTTCTTGTAATCATTTAAATGACTTGGAGCATATTTTATTAAGATGTGATAGATATACTCACCCCCGAAATCACCTTAAAGTTTTCCTCAAGATTGATCCTCGTTTCAATATCACCTTTAAAGAATTACTGGAGAAAGCTATATCAAACAGATCAACATTCAGGTTTTTTATTCAGAAGATGAAATATTTTGATATTAACTAACCTATTGATAGTTTTGTATGGGATAATAGCCTTTATTGCTCTAAATTCTTAATAAAGATATTAACTGTATAAGATTAGCTGTGTGTGAGATTTACCTTGTAAAAATTAAATTTATCTACTAGTGATATCTTGTTAATTAGTTCCAAGAACTTATTGATGGTACTTATAATTCTTCTTATTTTGTATAAACTTTATTTATAATCAGTAAGATCGCTCTTTTCAAGTAGGTACTTGTTTCTCCTATTACTCTCAAGTTGAGAGGTGAATTTATGTTTGCTGAGTAAAAATATTTAAACATGTAATCTGATTTCTTTTGAGCCTCACGCAAAATTAAAAAAAAAAAAAAACTCTGGGGATTTTCTTTAAAAAAATTTTTGAATAATGTCTGTACGTGTAGACTTTTAAACGAAATGTTAACGTTAAACAAATTTGATATAAAAAGCAACAAATAAACATTGTTTATCTGATCAGTTTATTCTTTTCATTTTTCTCATCATTACACATGTCAAAAGCTTTCTACTTTAATTTTAATCTTGTCATTGACTTTTACATCCACAGCTTCTAGATGCAAAAGCGTAGTTTAAAAGCGATAGTAAGCGTAGTTTCTCTTTGCAAGCACTTATATATCTCTCATCACTTGGAACAAAACCAAACAAGGTGTCCTTTTAAGAAAATTGAATGGTTAAAAAAGAAAACAGCTTTACACTTGAAAAGCACTTATGCAGCAAATGCCTTTTTTCCGTGCTTTTAA